AATCATTCTCCAAGAGCTTTGTGCACTCATGGTGAGTTATGCCTGTCATCTTAGCTTTCAGCCAATTTTTAAAGACAGCATATTCCTGTCACCAAGCCTCTGCCAAATTTTTGTTGGTGTAATTGTCATGTCAACTGGATCCACTGGGTTAAAGAATTTTTAAGTCTTAATGTGTAATTAGACATTTAATTGCACAGCTGCATTGTATCTAGAATAGGTGACAAGGAAAATATACAATATTGATACCTGTAGTTATCCTCTATATATATAAAGTTTAGAATTATGGCATTGAGTCACCCCTATCACATGGCTGGCTTTAGACATGTCAAGAGAATCTTTCGGCAGATCTATGTATTCATGGTTTTAGAGATTTTGTAATAGGTAGAAGGTAAATTGGAGAACGGGGAAACTCAGGAAAAATGAAAATATGTCTGAGAATACGTAGCTAAAGTCCACGTTTAGGAAGGTAAAGGTCAAATTATTTTGTTGAGAGAGATAATAAAATTTGATTAATTGTGAAATGTAAAGGCCTTTTTTCTGAATTTGTGCATAAATACAGTTTCTGCATTGTATTTCACAAATTACAAAGCAACACAATTTTTACAAATATTATAGTGTTTTACACAATAAATTGTGCAGGTTATATACCTTCATTGTCTGAATATCAAAAATACATTTCAGAAAGAGAATCTACTCAAGGTAAGTACCAGTAGATCCTTTCATTGATTCTGATGGCCATACTTCCCCAAAAAAGGTTGGTTTTGATATATTTCAACAAAGTCTGTGTTTTAGGTGCATTTGTTGCATTAAATGCCCATTTTGTATCAGGACTCTAGGAATTATTTTACTTTTCATGCTTCCTTAATTTTTCACAGTACAGGAAAATCTGGGAAATAATGCCTGCATTATGGGTGACAGGGTCAGCATACCTCAATATAAAATGAAGTATTTGTAAATATAAACCTGTAAGTGCTTAGAATATGCAACAGATTGACTCCAAGAGCATGTCCTTTCCTCGAAAATTTAATAAATTACATCCTATTAAATATTTTATCCATATTTCATTGATTGCTTTGAAATACAATACCAATCATACACAGGCACACAAGTGTGATTTTTTTGTAGGGATATGTGTGTGTGTGTGGGGGGGGTGAAAGAGAGATTTTGCATGTGCACTTATATGCAGATGTAAACCTTTATTGAAAGTTTGTGATTGAGTTTCTGAAACATGAAAATATATATATTTTTTATATCATATTACTGTCATATTACAAGTGTATGAAGATGATGGTACTCTCTTCTTTTTCACTGTTTACATATACAATGATGAATTAACCATGGCTTCTAGCTTTTCTTTTCTAGTAAGAAGAAAAAGTTAATTATTTATCATCACTGTACAGCTGTTCTATTGCTAATAGGCACAAAATGCCATAGCAGTCTAAACACTTTCAGTTGCATTCTGGACTTCAATATTTTTTATGCTTTTCACAGTTCTGAGGCGGTTCTGATCACATTCAAGTGCATGTGTAAAACAGTATATTTATGTGAAAGAGAGAGAAATCAGATGGAGATTTAATAAAAACCTGACTATGTGGTTGTTCCCATTTTCTTCAAAGAAACTAATTCTAATTTTAAAGGAAAGATATATTAGAAAAATGGCTCAAGAAGTGCCTAGTCACCAAGGAATCACATACTAGGCCTCTTGATCTCACTTGTATCCCTTCTTCTTCTTCTTCTTTCTTTTTTGGCTATTATTATTTTGAGTAACATAATGATAATGATGATAATAGTAATATATATCATTAATAACAATAATAGTAGTAATGAAAATAGATTAACTTTTTTCTCAAAATCTTAAGGAATAGGTACAAAGCCTGCAAAAAAGTTCTGAACACAAAGAGACCAAAATGCTATCCAGGAAAAAAAAGTCAGAAAAAGTGGGATTAAACATAATTGGAAATAAACCCTCCCCATCAACAACTTGAAGATGTGTGTTCTTGACCTCAGCCATAAGGGCATTAAATTGATCAAGGAACAGCAATAAGAATGGACCATGCAAGATGCCAAGAGTCCATCCTGTTACCCCTCCCCTGGTTGATGAACAGTCAAATTCATATTGGCGAAGCACTGAAAGGGTGACTCTTCAAATATGACATTTCCCCAATCTTTCTTGATCCAATAGAGGTACTTTTTACAAAAAACATTGTGTTTCCTTCACATCATAGGTGTAAGTAATGGGATTTCCAGGATATCTGAAAGTGGGGAAAGATCACTACCTAATATCTTTTTGGCTTGCTTCACCAAGAACATTATGGAACTTTTTGCTGTCTAGTCAAGATTTTATTTCACTATGATTTACATTCTGCAGTGGAAGGATAACTCTTTGTATCATCAGAAAACTTCTTCCCCATCATAACATTTATAACATAATTACATGCAGCCAAACACACTGTACAATACATATGTATTGTAGATGAGTGCAAGGATAAAACTCAGTGACTGGAAGGTCACGTGCACTGAGTGAGAGATGATGTCCGAGGGTCATAGAACCTCTACAGAGTCTGCCAGGACTGTCATGTCCTATGTTCGTTGCCCAACACCATTATCACACCATACAAAATCTTGCAAATCATATTTGCATTCAGGTTTTATTTGTGGGTAGTGTAAACAGGTGTGATCAGGTAGGCCTAGTAATTGACTCCTTGATGACTATGTATTTGTAAAGCCGATGATGTGTAAAACAAAAAATGACATTATTTCAGCATACAGACAAAAAGGTTACGATGAAGGGAGGTCTACCAGCAAAGGAAAAGACACCGGAACCATCAGTGGTCCAGCTTCTGTCAGGGAAACACAAGGATTTCATGTTCTTTCAGGTACCAATTTCTAGGTTTTCTTCTTTTTTCCTCCTCTTCCTCATTTTTCCTCTTCTTTTTTTGGATTTATAACATGAAAGCATTCTTGATATAATTTGGAAATAAGAAAACATCACTCTCCTTGCTCAGCTTCTTCCTCTTCTCTTGCTCAATCCATATATCAGAGTTCTAATTTTAATGAATTCTTTATTCACAACAGCTACCAAACTCCCTTCCCAGTCACCCTCCAGACATCAAACAGGAGCCACATACTACACAGCAGAAACAATCACAGCCTAATAATGTAAACAGTGCAGTAAGTTGCTGTATTTGTTGTCTCTGTTATTTATTTTTTTTTTCTAGATTCAGGAATATGTAGGGAAATAGAGAAATGTGTAATTATTTGTTTTTATGTTATAATACACATTCAAATGCAAGATACTTTTATCCTTTGTGTACTAAAAAGAATGGGAATCTGAATTATTTGTAATTATTTTCTCAGGCTTTTACTTCCTGGCTTTTTCACTAATACCATTTCCTCAGAGTATGTAATGTATAATTCTTAAACCTCTTATCCTCAGACTGCAGATGAAGAAGACGAGAAGAAAGCACAACCTCAATATTGTACTTTAAATACATTACCAGAAGGGCAGATTGGAAAGCTCAAGATATATAAATCAGGGAAGACCGAGTTATGGTTAGGTGAACATAAGCTTATCGTAAATAAGGGAACTCAGGTTGGGTTTTTACAGGTGAGTACTCTCTCTCTCTCTCTTGTTTTCTTGTTCTCTCTCTCTTTTTCTCTCTCTTTTTCTCCCTCTCCCTCCCTCCTTCTCTCCTCTCTCTTTCTTTTTCTCTTTCCTCTTCTTTCTCTCTTCTTTCTTTCTCTCTCTCTCTCTCTTCTCTCTCTTCTCTCTCTTTCTCTCTCTCTTCTCTCTCTCTTCTCTCTCTCTCTCTCTCTCTTCTCTCTCTCTCTCTCACTCTCTCTCTCTCTCTCTCTCTCTCTCTCTCTCTCTCTCTCTCTCTCTCTCTCTCTCTCTCTCTCCTCTCTCTCTCTCTCTCTCTCTCTCTCTCTCTCTCTCTCTCTCTCTCCTCTCTCTCTCTCTCTCTCTCCTCTCGTCTCTTTCTTTCTTTCTCTTCTTTACTCTCTGTCTTTCTTCCTTTCTTCTTTCTTTCTTTGCTCTCCTCTCTCTCTCTCTCTCTCTCTCTCTCTCTCTCTCTCTCTCTCTCTCTCTCTCTCTCTCGTCTCTTCTCTCTCTCTCTCTTCTCCTTCCTCCCTCACTTTCCTTCTCTCTTCCTCTCTCTCTCTCTCTCTCTCTCTCTCTCTCTCTCTCTCTCTCTCTTCCTCTCTCCCTCTCTCCCTCACCCTCCGTCTCTCTCTCTCCTCTCTCCTTCTCTCTCTACTCCCTCCCTCCTCTCCTCCCTCCCTCTCTCTCTCTGCTCCCTCCTCCCTCCCTCCCCCCTCCCTCCCTATCTCCTCTCTTTCCTCTCACTCTCCTCATCTCTCCCCCCACCTCTCCCCTCTACCTCTCCCCTCCTCCTCCTCCCTCTCTATCTCTTATCCTCTCCCTCCCCCTCTCTCTCATATCCTTTTCCCCCCTGTCTCCTCTCTTTCCTCTCTCACTCTCTCATTTCTCTCCTCTCCCTCCTCCCTCCTCCCTCTCTCTCTTATTCTCACTTCTCCCTCCCCCTCTCTCCATCCTCTCCCTCCTCCCTCTCTCTTATACCTCTTCCTCCATCCTCTCTGTCATTCTCTCCCTCCTCCTTCCTCTCTCCTCTCTCTCTGCCTCTTCTCTCTCTCTCTCTCTCTCTCTCTCTCTCGCTTCTCATTCCTCTCACTGCTATCGGACGGTTCTCCGCTCTCTCTCTTTCTTTCTCTTCATTCCTCTCTTCCTTCTCTCTCTCTCCTCGCTCTCCTCCTCTCTCTCTTCCTCTCTCTCCCTCTCATCCTCCCCCTCCCCTCTCTCCTTAATCGCTTTCGGCTCATCCTCTCTCTTTTCTCCCTCCTCTTCTCACTTCTCTCTCATCTCCTCTCCTCCTCTCTCTCTCTCTCTCCCCATTCGTCTCTCTCCTCTCCACCTCCTTCTCACCTCCCTCACTCTCTCTCTCTCGTCCTCCTTCTCTCCTCCTCTCTCTCTCTCCTCG